GAGAGAGAGAGAGAGAGAGAGAGAGATTGTGTGTGTACATGTTGGGGAGGAGGCAAATTTAATTTGAAACAGTGGACAAACCAAACGTGTGAATAAGACACACTTATGGATAATCAAAAATATCAGATGCCCTGGACAAATGGAGAGGTTTTCCCACTTCTTGAGTCACAGCTGACTCTGGCTGACACACTCCTACTCCCACTCAGAGGGTGCCAGGTGGGAGGTAGGGAGCCACCCTAGGTGTGGACTTGGCCTCTGGGGAGTCTGCTGGGGGTAGACCCCAGAGCAGAGGACTGAGTTGGACAAACCTGATGTTTTGTACTCAATTAGAAGAGGTCCGAGGTGGGACAGGATGGCCAGCTCCCTCCTCAGCCTGGATGGGCTCCCAGAGCAGCAGGGCCTGGGCTCAGAGAGGTAAGAAACCCTCTGGGCTCCAGATGTGCCAGGCCAGTTTCACCTGAGTCCCCACTTTGCCAGGTGGCCCCATCACCCTCAGGGGAAATAGCAAAGAGAGACCCTAACCACAGCAAAGAGAGTGGCTCAGTGACCCATGGGTCTTCTGCTGGCTCAGGGCACTCTTCTCACCTCTCCTTTTGTCACATCTGTTGGAGCCACATCCTGTGCCTGTGTATGGGGCAGGGGAGTGGAAAGTGCTTCTCTTCCAGGGGTCTCCTTCCCTCGAGCCAGGCATCTATGCTTCCTGGGCCAGTGACCATGCACTGCTGTGGGCAGCACCCCAGGTCCAGCCTCACTCCCAGTGCTCCTATGTGGCTTGGTACTTCTGGTTAAATCAGGTCTGACAGCACCATAGGGAAGGGAAGTCTGGCCTCAAACATAAGTAACTGGTCCACAAGAGCAAGGCTTACCAGCTCATCTAGAGTCCTGCCCACCCACTACTGAGAGGGCACACTGCTAGGGAGGCATCCTGGAGGGTCTCTGCCAGTCCCACCCTCCCTCCTTCCATGAGGCTCCCTGCCATTCCCTCTCTCCGTCCTGTGCAGTGCTGGGCCCAAGGCTGGGATGGGGAGGAATACTGATGTCACAGGCGTGGAGAGATGAACGTGGCTGGGGTTAAAAGCCAAGGCGACGCGTGGATACTAACGACCTGCATACTGCTGCACTCCAGCGTAGGCCTGCTGCAGGGGGTCCGCGGCGGTGGGGCTCTGTGCTGCAGGGGGCCAAGGGGACAGAGGTCAGAGGTGCCCACGAAACTTGTCCCCACCCCCCAACATGCCTAAGGGATGATGCCGTGGCTGCACCACCCTTTCTGGCCACTGCAGGGTCTACCCTGGGGCAGGCTGAGACTGGGACCCTGAGTGCTTGGGCTCTCTTGGGGTACCCTTCCCCATCCCAGAGCTCTTAGTATGGTAGAACAGTGCCACCACTGGCTAGGGATAGGTGCAGGCTGCAGCTGGCCTGGGGTGGGGTGAGGTGGGCAGTTCTTGTGGAAGACCAAGAGCTGGGGAGGAGATGCTAGAGGAAGACTCAGTCTGGAAGGGCTTGAAGGGGCCACACAGGGACCTGGTCCTGGAGAAGGGCTGTGGGGAAGGCATGAGAGGGGGCTGGAGGCTATCAAAAAGGTGTGCTTATCCTCCCTGATCATCAGCAGAAGGTGGGGGTAATGAAGGGAAAGCTTAGCTGACCCAAGCTGGGTAAAAGAAAAGGCAGAGAGAGCTCACACAGCCACTCTGTCCTCCTGGGCCACCCACACCTGCTCAAATAGAGGCACCCCTCTCTCATTCTTGGGGACTCTGCACACAGCATGAAAGCCTTCCACTCCAAGTCCCTGGCCTAGGTGCTCTCAGCAGGGACTGGCCACACAAATGAAGTCTGCCCAATGGGCCGGGAGAGGGGTGCTGACCACAGAGACTAAGAAACCAGAAGGCCAAGGGCCTTCCTCACACCTCCGACTGTTGAAGGGATCAGAAATGGAGTTGGGGTGGGGGGAGGGTCCATAAAAAGGAGAGGAGGCCAGTCCAGGGATTGGAAAGGCTTTATTAGCAGAGAGAGGAGAGAAAAAGAGCAGAGTGGAGTCTGACTGGAAGTCAGCTGAGCTTTCACAAAGTTTCAAGAGGCTTTTATTACCCCTTGTCAATAGGGTTCAATATGGGAGGGAGGTTCCCAGAGGTGTCCTCCCTTCTGCAAAGGGACTAATTTATACACTCGGGGCAAATCTAGGAGTTATTCCTTTAACCAGCTGCCAGCTGGGGCCAGAGTAAAAGTTCCTGTTCTGTTGTTTCCCAGGAACACTGGCCCTGAAGCATTCTGGGTGTGTGTGTGGAGGGTTTGCTGTGATCATGCAGTTTGGTTTCTGGCCTGGTTCCCCAAGTGGTTGTACTCCTGTCGGGGCCTTGAGGATTTCTTTCCCATACTTGTGACTCTGGGATGTCTCCCACCTAGTGTGAGGATAGGTCCTGTGAGCTGGTGATACTTTGACGAGAAACCTCAGGGAAGCTGGACTGGGAAAAAGGCTTAGTTCCTTTCTGTTGCCTTTGCTGTCTTTGCAGGAGCTGGGGGCAAAGGCCTGAAGAGTGAATCAACACTGGGCACTGCATGTGGTGACCAAGGCCAGTGGTGGGCTTGGGAGTGGGCTGGCCTTGAAGGACAAGGGAGGTGGTAGAGACAGGTGCCACCTAGAGGGAGGGTCTAGTACCCGCTCCACTGGTGTGTCTGGGGTAAACAGGCTATCACAGGGTGGCAGGAAGAAAACCATCCAGGCTTATCTGCCTGTCAACCTAGGCTAGCCAAGATAACTGGCTGTTCTGGGCTCTGGGGCCTTCAGACTAGGGAGAATCCCCAAACTTTCCTCTGAGCTCCTATCCCTGAGTCTCTCAGTAAAATTTGATTAGAAAAAGAGCACCAGACCTCAAGGGTGCCCAGGGAAAAGGCTTTGGCAGGATGGCAGGTTCCATACCCCCCAGGAAATAGTGCACAGCAGGGGACTTGGGCCTACAGGGTCTCTGCTCAGAGAAGAGCAGTGGAAGATGGGCCACCTAGACTGCCCCAGTCAAACACCCCCTCCCTCTACTTCTGCCATGGTGGAGACTGGAGCCAAGGGCTCCCCGGTGTGATGTGCCTGACAGGTGGTCTTCTCCTCCCTCTTGCTCCCTCTGTCACTGTCCTCTGCCAGCATCCAAGCTCTCTGAAGAGCCACATCTGGCTTGTCCTCTTGGACTTCCCAGCTGCTCACTCATGCTATTCCTGCATGCAAATCAGGAAGGAGAGCCCTTTCCTCCAGGCACACAGTTTGGTTGCACAAAATTTGAGCTGCACAACTTACATGGCAGGTCCAGCATTGTGCCAGGAACACTGTAAGTGCTTGGCAAATAATGTGACTGACGGCATGAATGAATGAATGGTTTTTAATGTGTGAGAGCAGTCCCTTCAAGGGTGTTATGCAAGAATAAAGGCCACACTATGTGCATCCACCATGATCTTGACGAACAACAGGGAGGAAGAGAAAAGCTACCTGAGGCTAGGAAGTGGAGAAAAGCATTTATGAGACTCCTCTCTACTTCTCTGCTTAACGACCTCATTAGTAACTGCCAAAGAGTGAACATATTGAAGGATCTCGCTCATTACAGCGGCTCCAAACTCCGCATTTAAAGATGGTAAATTAATTTTTTTAATGTACTACTTTTCTCCTTTCCTTCCCTCCTTCCCTCCCTCCTGCTCTGGCAGGGAATTGTTTATGAGATGTGGCAGATTGTTACAAATGGGGGAAAGAAACATTTCCAAATTCCATGAGGGAAACAGCTCACAGATGCTGGTGGGGGTGGGGAAGGAACAGGTTTGTCAGAATCCAGAGATCCAGATGGGCTGGTGGGCAGGGAGGAGTGGGAAATGAAGCCACCCAGATGTGCTGGGAATGGCATCTCCCAGTCCATGAGTCTGAGACAGGGATCTCTTCTACTTCCTGCTTGCCCCACCCACCTCACCTGGCAATCCCTCCCAGCCCAGAATCTTCATCCTTAACACTCCAGACCCTCCGGCCCTTACCACCTTGCACTTGAGATTTCTCCGGCCACTCCTCTGTGAAATAAGGGGTGTACTGGTAAGCACTGGGATGAGACCAAGGACAACTCCAACTTCAAAATTAGGGAATTCTCCTTTTCTCTCTCCCTCTGGCACAGTGACCTAGCAATCTGTATCTGGGGCGGGGGTAGGGGTGGGGTGGTAGGGCTTTTATATACTACAGATGTCTGGGTCTTATTCCAGACAGTGAAATCAGAATTTGGGGACTTTTGTGGTTTTATAGAGCCCCACAGGGGATTCTGGTGGGCATCCAGAGTGGGAGCACAGCTCTGCCTTCTTGCTCATCTACCTTGGGCTGGCATCCTCTGCCCTACTGGGCTAACTTCCTTACCACCCCTTACCCCTGCCAGGCAGGACCCCTTCTGCCTCTGAGTCTGTAGGACAGCCCCCTTCACAGAAGTGTGCTCTGTGTTTATCCTCACCTCTTCAATTCCTACCCATCTGTTATAGCTCCATCTTAGTCTCTTCCTCAGAGAGGCTCTTTTGCACTTCTTCAGTCTACAGAAGTGTCCCTTCACTCGAAACCTTTGGTATCTTGAGTCTGAGAACATTCACTCTTGATCAACCATATTGTCTCTCATTCTATAGATTACATAGATTCTATAGATTATAGTACATTTCTGCCTAGAAATTTGACCTCCCAGGGGATAGGTCTACATCTTGCCCCATCTTGCCCCTCCCTTTTATCCAGCACAGACTGATACTTAAGTGGAATCTGTAAGCTCATTCTCTGCCATCCAGGAAGGGGATGGCACTGTTTCCATCTCCATTGTATAGTCTACCCTAGGGCTTTGGGCCAGGTTCCCTGTTCTGATACCAGTCCATTCTCCAGACCCGATAAAGGAGCTACGTCACACATGCTCACTCTGTGAGAACTGCTAAGTTTGAGCAGAACAAAGTTAATCAGGGACAGCCCTCCCACATCTTCCTTTGTGCCAGACTTCATAAATAAACAGATCCAGGAGCTGTCTAATGTTCTGATATGCTGTCCAAGGTGCTGACGAGGCTGTTGTGGGCATCAAAGGCCTGGACTAGTAGGGTACCAGCTAGACCGCCAATCCATATACCTCCACTTCCTTCCCCAAAGGGTCTTTTCCTACTTGACACTAAATCTGACTGTTACTTTAGTGTCTACTTCCTTCATTCTTATAGGTCAAATTCACGCTGAATTAATTTACAGTCACTGGCCTCTCTATGTGGTTGTACAATTGCACCTAGACTCTTCCCTGAGGGATTACCTGGAATAGGGTTCTCGCTCACTGATCAGACTGACACCTCCCCAATGGCAGGATTTTGGTTTCTTCTTTCCCACTATGGGCTCCCTGAAGGAGGGCAGGATGCTGGCCTTCCCTGATCACACTTGGGGTTTCACCAAGGAATGGACAGAGGAGCAACACACATTCCTGTTAGAATAGCAAGGGAAGGAATGAAATGGATGAGGAATGTGCTGTATGGGGAAGGAAGGGCTACCAGATGTGCTTACCTGGGTAGGGGTGGATGCCATTGGTGAACACAGCTTCCGCAGCAGGTTGCCCATTGGCCTGTGGGGGGAGGCCGGTGAAGCCATTCACCCCAATGGGGGACGGGATGCTAGGCACGGCTGGTGCAGGGATGCCTGGAGGGGTGCTGCCACCTGGTTCCAGGGGTAAAGAGGGCAGGGGAGGAGGGAAGGGATGCATAATAAAGACGAGGAAGGCCAACCTGTGGAGCTTCACCTTGCTGGTTCCAAAGGCCTGTGGATAGACTTGGACCTCACATACCAGCTCAGTTTGTCTGTGAACCAGGCCTTGGCTTATCTCTCTGTATAAGGTGGCTTCACCCATCTCAATTGTATCCATCCTTCAAGGCATAGCCCAAGCCCCACCCACTCCATTTAAGGCTTCTCTGACAACTGAGGGCTCATCCTTGGACCTATAGCCTATATACTATCCTCAATGCCCTTAACTTTAACCACATTTGGGCCTCCTTCAGTCCTTTTCAGTAGCTCTTGCTAACTCCAGCTAAGTAAGGATGGGCTGGTCCTTGAGGGGCTTCTCTGCCTCCCCAGGAAGAAGTCTTGCCGCTCAGGTGGAGCATTAATTAACATTAATTCCAATGTTACCTTATGCTGAGGTAAGGAGGTCATTGTAGAGTCCAGACTCAACACTATTTCATACACAAAATATACCCTTGGCATCCTTCAGTTGAAGCAGTGTGGTGCTTATGATGGGAAGGGTAAAGTTGGGGTCACATACAGTACCCTATGCCCTCCCTATACCAGCGGTGTAGAACCCAACATGTGAATGATATGGTGATTTTACTGAAGGCCCAGAGGCTGGAGCAGGACGTCCACTTCATGCAGGAAGTGGGGCTCCTCTGAGAATGAGGACCTGAGGCTGGCCCACAACCTGGGCTCTTTAGTGTCCCTGAGATTGGGGATCAGAGCTATGAGGTAGTGCTTAAGTTGGGCCCAGAGACGGCACAGTCTTTTATGGCAGTTAGCTGGGAAAGGAATAGTTCCTGGATGTCAGGAGGGTTGCTTCTGTGACCTGGGCTGACAATAAGAGCCTAGGGTACTGGACCAGCCTCTGGGAATAGACGACTATTTCTAAATGTTGACACTCTTGTCATTTGGGATCAGATATTTCCTTGTTGTGATGGCTTTGCTGTGCATGCAGAATGTATGGCAACATCCCTGGCCTTTACCCAGTAGATGCCAGTAGTATTCTCCACTCCCTGTTGTGATAAAAGTGTACCCAGACATTGCCAGATGTTTTGGGGATAAGGGATAAAAATGTACCAGTTGAGAATCACTGGACTGGACAATAGCCAAACTCCAATCAAAACATGCTTTGTGAGCTGGGTTATTTCCAAGCCACTGTCCCTTGATAACTCTTGTGGTTTTCTCTGGCTTGTTTTGTAGTTGTCTTAGAAACAGCCCCAGGTTGGGTTAAAGAGAAATGGCGGACTGTGTGTGTGTGTGGAGGGGGGAGAGGAGGGTTCCTTCTGTGCTTGGCCAGAGAACAAACAAGGACACAGTAAGGCTGGGGCTCTTCTCTTCCAGACCTCAAAGGGAGATATTTTCATCTCAATTTCTTTCTAGATATCTATTGTTAATACAGATCAAGATGAATTGTTTTCTTTTCTTTCTTTCTTTTTTTGAGACAGAGTCTCACTTGTCACCCTTGGGAAAGTACCGCAGTGTCACAGCAACCTCAAGTGATCCTTTTGCCTCAGCCTCTTGAGTAGCTGGTACTACAGGTGCCTGCCACAGTGCCCAGCTATTTTTAGAGACATAGAGACAGGGTCTCACTCTTGCTCAGGCTGGTCTTGAACCCGTGAGCTCAGGCAGTCCACCTGCCTCAGCCTCCCAGCGTGCTAGGATTACAGGCATGAGCCACTGTGTCTGGCCTATGATGAACTATTTTCTGATACAGCTAAGCAACTTGAATGAAATTCTTGGCACAATGAAATCATATCATGGACTAGATGGGGACCACATCTTAGTTTTTCTTGGGTCCCCAAGGGTTTTCAAATGTAATTTTTGATATAAACTGCCAGAAGACAGGGCCTGCCTGAGTCCTGACATTATGTGCTCTTGCCACAGGATGGCCAATTGGTAGCCAAATTTAGGTCCTAGCCTGAGCCTACCTGCTCTTCCATCAGGCCAGGCTCTCTGTTAGTAACTGATGGCTCACCTGAGGTTGGGGTCATAGGTGCGGCCGCCAGGCCATTCATGTTGAGGGCTGCCATCTGCTGCATCTGGGCGGCAGCGAAGGCAGCCATGGGATTCAGGTAACCGCCCTGGGCGACTGACGCCATGAGGGCTGCTTGCTGCTGCATCAGCTGGGGCAGAAAGAGTGGAAAAAATATCACGTGCTTCCAGAAGGGCATCCCCGCCAAACAGGGAGCTCTGCTCCTGGAGACTAACCTCCTGGGCCTTGAGTTCCCAGGGAGCCCAGACCATCTCCCAGCCACCACTCAAGAGAGCTCTAATGCTTCCCCATTCCTGCCCTGGTTCTCAGTAGCTAGTAGAGGCCACCTCCCTGAGAGAAGGTTGTACTCAAAAGTAACGGTAGGGTCTTTGGGATTCTAAAGTTGATGTAGAGGGTGAGGCAGGGGACTGGCTGCATGCGAGCTGATCCATCCTGGGTCAAACCTGTTGTCTGAGAGGATATGACACCCAAAGTGCTAGAGACAAGTTGGATGAGCCTCCATAGAAGTAATTTAGTACAGACTGTCCTGTACTCCCAACTGGCCTTAATTGGGAGTCTGTAGAAGTGACAGGAGAATCATGAATAGAATCTCAGGCACCCCAATGTCATTACAAAGGTGACTAGGGATAGAGGGGAGGCTGTTGAAAGTAGCCACAGCTGGATGTCACTGAGGAAATGAGGTGAACTTGTAATTTCAGAAGTGGAACCCTGGCCTACCTCAATGCCACCCATCTAGGGGTTGTAGTTGCAAGTCTGGAGGCAGTTCAGGGAGATGCTGGCAGAATGGACCCCAGTTGGAAAAAAGACACTGGTGGGCCAGAGGCCTGAGGCAGGGTGTGGGGGAACTGCAGAGGAAGTATGGGTGTGGAGAGATTAGGGGTACCACAGGACCCCTGCCAGGAGTTACCAGAGGTCCAAAGATACTCATCCGTGAGTGGGGGTGGGGTGGTGACAACCAAACTCTTGAACCTCCCTCTTCCCCTCTGTGCTTCTTGGAGCTCAACACTGATTTGCCTGGGAACAAGGCACATGGGCAACCCAGCTTGTCCTGCTCAGGGGCCTAGCTACACCGCTTAGAAACAAGACAGCAACCCACCTCCTCCTAAAAGCCACTCCTAACGGGACCAGCATTCTCTTAACCCCTTCTCAGGTTGCACTCCCTGGGTTGACTCCTCCTGGTTCTTTCTCATTTCCGAGGGCAGGAACAGTATTTCCAGTTAGGTAACTGTACTCCCTGAGGCTCCCAGGAGAGTGATCCCTGTACCACTGCCCATCCACGCCCCCACTTACTGCCTGAGCGTAGGCGCCGTAGGCTCCGAATGGGATGGCCATGGGGTTGAACATGCCCATCTGGCCAGCCATCTGCTGCATTCGTCGCATGGTGCGCTCCTTGTCAGTGTCCGCAAACTTGACCACCAGACTGGATGAGGCTCCCTGCAGCCGGAGCAGGTCGTGAGACTCACCTGCCCCAGAGTCTCCACTCACAGCTGTCGTTGGCCCTGGCCTGGCCCCACCCTACCCTCCCTGGAGAGTGCTATGGCTGTGGGTGAGTGCTGGCTCATAGGTATGAGGTCGTAACCCCACCGCGGGTTCTATCTAGGTGACCTCCGGCCAGTTCTTTAATGTTTCTGGGGCTCAGCGTCCTTGTTTGAGAAACGAGGATAAGGATGCTTTCCTGTCTCATGAGACTATGAGAGCGGCACGCTTTTTGGCACGGTGTGGACGGCGCCGTCAGCTGGCGGCTGGCGGTGCCCAGCAGTGTGGGGAATGGGGTGTCGCCTCTGTGCCTGTTCCCGCCCCAAGAGGCCGCACTCACCGGCATCGTCTGGCTGCCGTGGAGAGCGTTGATGGCGGCTTGCGCCTCCGCATGGGAGGAGTACTTCACAAAGGCGCACCCTGGGGGGGACGGGAGAGGCTGAGCCACCGCCCCAGGACCCAGCGGAAGGCCAGAGGGAGAGCTGGGACTCAGAGGCAGGGCAAGGGAGGGGCCGAGGGGGAGAGGGCACATCCCAGATGAACGCAGAATGGATGAGACACACAGAGAGACACCAAGAAACGCAGAGACCGAGACGGAAAGGCCTGGACAGGCCCTAGACTTAAAGGCAGCCGAGCCTCCCACCGTCTCGTCCCTTCGGAGCACCTTCCCAGGCTCGCCCGGCTCAGGCCGGCGGCCCGCCCCGCCCCTCGCACCCTTGCTGTTGCCGTCGGGCCCGCGCAGGATGGTGCACTCTTCGATGTTCCCGAAGGCCTCGAAGAGGCGGCGCACATCGTCCTCGGACTGTTGCTTGTTGAGCATACCCACGAAGAGTTTTCTATCTTCTGGAACAAAATTAGGAGATGCTTACCCGGGTCAGGGGCCGGGCGGCGCGGGACTGAGCCCGCGGGTAGCCCGGCACCGCAGAGGGGGAGGGCAACGTTGAGGGAGGAGGAGCGGGGCTGCAGGCGGGGCGGGGCTCGGAGCCGAGGGGGCGGGGTGGGGAGAGGGCGGGGCAGGGTGAGAGAAAGAGAGAAAGAGAGAGAGAGAGAGGAGAGGGGGTGGGGCGGGGCTGTGGGAATAGGCAGGAGAGGACCGGGAGCACGAAGTCCAAGGGAGAAGTGGGGGAGCAGGGGCTTTCAAGCGGAAGCTGGACTGCAGCGACTCGGCCTCCTCCTGCCTAGAGGGCAGGCTGCACTCTGAGGAGCAAAGTCCCTGCGCCGGCCCCTCACCTGGGGCAGCCCTGGGATCCCCTTCCACCCTCCTTAGATATTGTTAACATAGTGTCTTCCTTAGGTGTCCAAATGAGTCACCGCTGGCAAGTCTGCCAAGGCACCTTTGCATATGCTGTTCCCCCTGCCTGGGTTCACAAGGCTTAGCCCTTCTCTTGCAGGACTCAGGTTATATGTTGCCTCCTCACCAATGCCCCTTGTTCCCCTCTCATTTATTCTCTATCTCATATGCCATTCCTATAACTGAGATTTCAGACTGCTTTGCAGGTGTAGTTGGTTTAAGTTCACCTCCTCTGCGTATGCTCCCTGGGGAAAGAGAGCAGGCCTCCCTGCTGAAGCATCAGGCCTGGTGCCTAGTAGACTCTCACTACAGTTACAGAATGAATGGGAAGGAATGAATGCATGCCCCTTGCTATTCTCAGGGCACACATGTGTTTACCTCTGTCTGGATGACCCCTCCTGGGTCTGCCCCTTACTATTTGTTCATGCTGCAAAATTCAGCCCTTGACACTTAAGGACTGGTCCTGAAGTTACCTCTGCAGCCCCACACACCTGTGGTGAGTATCGAGTGGCCTGCTGACCCCACTCGGTTGTGAGCTCAGGGTGACAGGTGTCGCATTGGGCTGCGTGAACCCATATCAGCTTGTGAATGACTGCAGAAGGGTCCTCCAATTCATGTGTGCTTACTTCAGTGGGCTTTTCTCTCCTGTTCCTGGGAGTTGGGGTCATATTCCTTCCCCTTATTTCTCAGGGGGGCTTGTGACTTCTCTAACAAATAAAGAATGCAAATGGCACTAGATACAGGAAAAAGAATTGGAAACAAAGAGCAGGGAGAAGAAGAGGGATGAGTGGAAAGAGGACAGAGACCCAGAGAATGATGGGGGAGTCCTTTTGTTTGACTCCTGGGGACAACAACAATTTACTTGAAGTGAAATGGGAGCTTTACTCCTTTAGTGGAGTAATTGAAACTCTTTTTTCCAGACAGTGCCTCTCCTGACGTCTGAATGCATCCTTTATTATCATTATGACAGCTTTCTGATTGCATTAAAATTCATCCACACATGCCTTTCTATCCAGCCACTTCCCTTTTGCCAGATTTTTTTTTTTTTTTTGCTAATTCCTTCTCCCCCTTCCCTGCAATCTCCTTTCACTCAGCAGTTCTCAGTGGTACATCTGAGCCCCCCTGGGGGCTTTTCTAAATGTATAGGGAGCCCAGGCTCCCCACTTCCTGCCCAGGGAAATTATAGCTAGTCTTACCTTTCTGGAAGAAACCAAAGAAACCTCCTAGCTCCAAACTCACTTTCTCCAGATAGCCTGAGATGGAACCCACTCAACTCGGTTTGTTTCTAAGACCCCCAACTATGTTCAGTCTGTACCCCCTTCACATTCCGGGAAGTGTGGTTACCATGTGGGTGAGTCTAAGGCTTGTCGTTCAGACCAGGGGCTGGAGGGACTCTGAGTTTGCAGGTAGATCTGTTCTGGGCCAGGCCCAGCTCTCCTGCTTCACACCTCAGTTTTGTAGGTCTATAAAATGGGTGTACTTATGCTTCCTCTCATGGGGAAGTTGTTATGATTTCAAGAGCTGCTGCAGAGACAGTGCCTGGCAAGCAGAAATAGCAATGGTGATGACCACTACTTGGGTTTCTCTATGCAAGACGAAGAGGAAATGGCACTGTTAACCCTTGGTTTGCTCATCCCTGAATTGGCCTGGAGGGCCGTCCCTGCAGTGAGGGCCCAGAGCAACGTGAGGCTGGCATTGGGAACCCAGCTCAGGTCAGGGCACCATGTTGTGCCCACCTTCCCATTCCCAGGGGTAAGCCTGGTGCACAGGCAAACTTTGGTGTCAGGTGGCACAGGCCATAGCAGAGACCTGGAGGAAGTGCAGATAACCTGTATCTCCCCACCCTCGGGTCTTCACCCGAGCTGCTCCTGGTCCAGGGGCAGAGCAAGTTCGCGCAATCACTCAAAGCCTGTTCTCTGAGCCCCTTCTTTGTGCCAGACAGTGCTCAAGCACTGCTTCTACAGCAGTGAATGAGGGAGGCGATGCCACTCACTGGAGCAGACATCCAGATGGAGAGACGGGCCATCCACAATAAACAAGTCTCCAAACATGACAAGGGCCAGCAGGGTTGTCACACAGTGGACTGGTGTGTCTTCCTGTGGGAGAACAAGGCCACAGAGTAGCAGATCTGGGAAGGACCCAAGGTAACTCTGAGGGTCCCAAGCTCTTCCAGATGAGGACTGGGGCAGAGATGGAACTCCAGGGTCCACAGTAGGCCCATAGCTAGGGTCTTGACTGAACTCAGCCTCTTGAGCTTTTCCTGACTTGTTGATCCCATAGCCCTTGCTGCTGCTCTCTGTGCTTTTAAAATGTGCCTGTGTCTGGACTTTGAGGAAGCCCTTGGGGTTCTGGGACACAGGAGTGTGGCTCCTCAGAACGTCTGAGCAACAGAAGGTGGGTACTTGTCCGAGCTCTGCCTTGACCCAGTGAGGGAGCTCAGCACTTTGTGATCAGTATCCAATCATGGGAGAGTGGGTAGAGTACACTTGCCAGCCCACCCCCACCAGAATCTGGGACTGGAAGAAGCCAATAATAGCGTGCATGGGAGAAATACATCAAGTGAAGGTGTTTACAACCATATCATGAGGGGCTGGGCCAGAGAACTTGACATACTTTGGGTCTACCTTCTGATTGCCCCTTCAGCAAACATTCATTAAACACTTACTACATGCCTGGGACTTGGCTACACAGAGGATCTGAGATGAGTTTTGGGAGCCCTTCTGGGTTTCTTCTTTCAATGGGTTGCAGGTTGTGCATGGCTCTGAGATCCCTGGAGAATCCTAAATCTTTGATCTATGGTCCCCAGAGCCTCTGCCATGGAGCCCCCTGTGCGAGAGAGAACAGACAGGCCTGGTGGCCACATCATAGCTGTAGGCTGCCAGCTGGAAGAGTCAGGTGGGGAAGTGGGAGAGGCTATACCCTGAAGGCCTCCAGGAGGAGAGGGACTGGAGTTCTGATGTGCAGGGGACAGATGTGGGGCTCCAAGCCCACACCAAAATTTGAGCAAAGCAGAGAGGTAGAGGGCCCCCTTTGGCTGCCCTTTTCACCTTTCCCCAAGTGCTCCTTAACTGTGGCAAGGCTTGCAAGAGCAAGACCCTTAGAAACCTTATCTTTGTTTTTCCATCGGCCTCTGGTCTGCTCTCCATCTCCCCAATATTTATATATATGTATATATATATCTCCCATTCCTCTGGTCTCAGGAATCATTTTTATTTTCCTAGAATCCCAATCTAATACTGAGCTTTGATTCCACAACCTACCAAAAAAAAACCTACAAAAATCCAGTGGAGTTGGTTGCCAGAATCACCTGCTTCTTCACATCCCTGTCTCTCCCCCCACCCCCATGAAAGGAAATAAGAGACCATTCACTTCAGGGTTCAGGGTGTCAGGGGAGAAGGGAACTCAGGCAGGAAAGATCTGCATTTTAAAAGGAGAGACCCCCAACTAGGGAAGTAATGCCCCTGTAGTGGCAGCTCAGGATTAGGACAGGCTGTGCCATAACCACCGCCCCACCTGTGTCACAAGGAACATTGTGCTGGCCATGAAGGCTGAGTGGACCTCTGACAGGGAGGACGCCGGTGATAGCAGAGTGCCACTTGACTTGCCAAATGCCAGCGTCCTGGTGCTAATGCTCAAATTCCGGTTTAATTTTCAAAATTTGATTCGCTCATTACCATCGGCATTAAACCATATTTCTTGCTTAAGGATAGACGGCTGCAGGGGCACTTCAGGCTAGTGTTCAGATGGTTAATGCCTTTTATTACCACAATAGACTTTTACTATTCTCTTCCCTTCTGCTGCAGAAGGAGGGTTGTGGGGCCTCTGACTGGGGAGAACCCTGGGGCCAAGGCCAGGCTGGGGAATCCAGGATTGCAAGGTCTGTGGCTGGGGGGGTAGGGTGGGAGATGCTGGTGGTGGATCTGGACATTCAAGGGCAACAGCTTGGGGGTGGAGAGGAAATGCCTCAGGACAATAGAGCCTTTGGTCCTGGGAGGAGGGCCCAGGCAAGAGCCCAGAAACCAGACACTCCTAGGAATCTGCCCTTCCCTCCAACTGCCGGAACAGAGCCTAAAGCCCTGAGCGGGTCTCTGCCTACTGCAGAGTTAGGGTTCCCCCCCACGCCCCTGCCCAGGGTGCCTCCAGGATCCCAAAATTCTCTCTTTTCCCTGGAGATGACCTTGGTACCCTAGGGCCCACAGGCAGTGAGTCCAAGGGTGAAGGACATGTTCCTTCTCACCAAGTTCACCTGTGGATCAGGGAGAATTTGAGTAGGAAGAGACAGGAGGGTTGGTTGGGTAAGGCTGCCTGACAAATCCTTTACAACCTTAGGCAAGGCATAGATCCTCCCTGGGAGGGTCTGTGTGAGGATTAACCGAGTTGAAATGCATGAGGTTTTCAGTACAGCGCCTGACTCAGAGTAAGTGCTCAATAATCGCTGGTTATTGTGACTGTTATAGCCATTACTGCTGCCCACCCATAGGATGCCAGCTGGCAGATGTCAATGCCCACCCCACCCTGGGGGTGCATAAAGGACCCCTAGGGGCATTGACTG